CTATTTCCGACATTTTTTGATTCCATTCAATAAAATTAAAAAAAATTAAAAAATTATGGCGTTTGACTTTTTTGCAGTTTTTTATCTCACCCTGTACAAGAAGGATGACCCGTAATATTGCATATTACCACCTGCTGTTGTATGGATAGAAATATTGGGATATGCAGAGTATGAAAATAATCGGATGCTCATTTCGGGTTTTTGAAGCTTCATGGTTATTCAAAATTTTGCCCCGTTATGGGCGAGGTATGTTGAGGAATGGTCCGCCATATCCCATCTTCCCACCAGATCTTGTGTTTGTTTGATGTATTTGGATGTGCGAAATTTGAAAATAATGAAATTATTATTTTAAGTTTTATAATAGTTATGATTTGTCAACTTTTTACTCTTCTTGTGGGCCTGGCGAAGCACAAAGTTTAGCAATCTTCATACACCATCCATACTATGGTGGAGGGTATAAAAGACTTGAAACAACGTTTGTTTATTATTGGAGAAATATGGTAATGTTTACCAGGGGGTAAGGCAGGGAATACCTAGTTTTCGAATAAAGCCACCAATCCTCATCAGTTCCCTTGTTTGTGAAAGATATTATATTTACACAAATTTTTATTTGACTCTTCACTTTTCTATAAATGTAAAAAAAGTGACCGATTTTTACACTAGCTTTAATGTAAAACAAAATATTGGAATGTAAAAATATTTAAGAAACATTGAATTCCCCATTTTGGAATAGTAGTTATTTTTTCAAAATTTTGACATATTATGGGAAAGGGGCGGTGCAAGAAGGTCTAGACTAATATTGTCCATTTTCGCATTTTATGTTTGGTTAAAATATTTGAGAGTTATCCTACGCACAGGGCATACAAATGTACTAAAATCGATTGAGTATTGATACAAACCCATAATATTGTGCCACCTTTCTATACGAATTTTTCAGGTTCTATATTATCCTGCTGGTGGTTATAAAATGTGCTATATAAGCGATTCTATTAACTTGTATAAAAATATTGTCTAAAATTTCAAATTTACCAGTTCTCTATTCTATCTATATTTACACATGCCTTATGAAATATCCCATCACATCCCAAAGAAACATTTCGGCAAAAGGGTCATTGCTCTACAAATCCCTTTTTTTGGGAGGATAACAACGAAAAGAACAAAAAAAAGAGAACATTTTTGGCTCCATTTTTCCACAGGATGATGATTAATTGTGGTTGTAGAATTGACAAATAGTAGTTGCATTACAGAGAACAAGGGTGGCGGACTACAAAAACTGATTCAGCAATCAGTGGAACCACAAATACACCTATTTACCAAAAACTTTGCTATTTGCCAATGACGATAACAAGAAGAAGAAAAAAAACAGGAGAGAGACCTATATTTTTGGTTGTTGGCCAAAAGAATGGCAATGTAAATGTCATTTATTCTCCAAATCTCTCCATTTCTCTATGTGTCACTCTCTTTTTGCAAAAGGACACGAAGTCAAACATTAATGCTCAATTCAAAACACAAGCCCACCAACCAAACAAAGAGAGACGATGAGAGAGAGAATGCGATTTAAAAAAGTGCATTCTGTGTGGGAGGAAGAGGTAAACAATTTATTTGGGTGGTGACACATGACCATTAAGAATCAAGAATTAACAGGCGAACGAGTCATAAAATGCAACTTCAAAGGCGAACGAAAACCCAAATGTGAACGAGGTAGCTGAGTAGGTGGTGGTGGTGTAAATGGATACACAAGGATTACGAATGATGACAGCCACAAAACACAGAGCAAACAAACTAAACAAAAGGTAGCAACAACAACAACCTAAACACCAACCAAAACGGAAATGGTTGGAATGAAGTAAGCCTGATGAGTCCCCAAATATTTGAAAGCATAATGTAGAAAAAAAGGAAACGCAGTGAGTATGCAGCACAGGAAGACACAATAAGAACGAAGTCTGTTTACAGCATACATACTACACACAAATTCCCAGCCAGAGATGGAAAGTGTTAATTATGATTAAAACATTGTAAAAGAGGCTATAAAATATGTTTATTTTGAAAAGTAAATAATTTTTCTATTGAAGTATGAGGTATCTAACAAGATGGAAGTAAAATTGTAAAGGGAATAAATCCTTTCAAAATTGTTGCAATATAAAAAACTTCAAAAAAGTGAAAAGTGGAAAAAGGCAAAATGCAGGGTCGTCTTTGATATGGATATTGAAAGCTTAACCAAATCACTCTGTAAGGCTTAAGTACAACAATATTAAATATTTTTTTACTGATATTGGGAGAAAATCATAATAATGAAAGGGGCTTCGAAGTACCAGAAAGCATGAGTGTCGGCGTTTTGAAGTTTGCAAAGTAACCTAAATAAAGGTACTTCTAAATTTTCAGATTGAGATATCTTTTAATCCCTACATCTTAGATATATAGGGTAGATATTAGGGTCAACATCGGTAGGGTCAACATAACTAAAAACAAGAAAGAAATCAAATCAATCCAACAAAAAAAATAAAAACTGACTTGAATAGGTATAGTAATAAGACAAAATATCTCTTATAAATAAATTGGATGTAATAATACCCTAAATCTAACATCTTCGGCAGTATTTTTTAACCAAAGTATAAAATCAACCTTCTTAAATGATGATTTCAATCCTGAAATGGGTTCTTAATATTTATTAATTCCTGGCGATAAAGTAAGACTTAGAGTATTGATATACTCTGAGTCCTCTAGCAAAGGGAGTTTACATACATGTTTAAAAATAGGTCAAGATGATCCCATTGGTAAATCGCCTAATGGTAAAAAATGTCCACCAAGTATCCGGGAAATTGCTATCAATTCTCGCCCAATGGGTATTAAGGAGGCGGCAGAAAGCCGAATCAAAGAAAATAGTACCCTAGTGCTATGAGGAGACAAATTGCTGCAATTCTCTCACAAGTCTTAAGAAATACTTGTCCGCTTCATAGCGTCCTGCGACCAACAACAGATAAGGACTTTTGATATTCGACTCTCTTTCTAACACTCAGATTAGTAGGGTTAGATGCCCTTAACTCGTTGCTGCCATATGCTAGTCCTTCGTGCATTCAACCGCTAGGATGGCTTGGAAAATCATTTCCATAACCTAATCATCAGAGGAGTTGAACAGTTCTGTGTAGCGATGTTCAGAATTTCTCTCGGAATTTAAGTCAATTACCTTTTCTGTGATTGATGAAAGTGTCTTAATTCCGCACCATTTTAAGTGTTTATATTGTGGGTAATTTTGTCAGTAGCTACACCCTTAGCAGTATGGCTACAGAGTACATATATAAAAAATAACGTTCTAGAAGTACCCAATTCGATTGAAAATTTGCACAATTCGAAGATGTGTAATATAGGCTTATTTTTTAACAAATTAATCTTTAATACCCTCCAATAGTTAAAAGGAACTTGAAAAATACCAAAAAATAGGTAAAAAATACCGCTTAAATGAAACCCGTTATATGGGTAGGTGGACCTGCATAGACAATTTTGTCACAGGTTGCAGTACCCGTTACGAACTTTAAATACGTAATTTGAAAAAACCCCGGTGAAGAATGCTTATATTATCAAAATACCGAGTATCGGCAGGTACTGTTTTATGGAGGCTGTACAAAAACGTGGACCGGCATTACGCATTTACGAAATTAACCTGCCTACTGGCAAAATTCACATGTGTGCAAAATTTCTATGCGAATTAGATAAATCAATTTAACGACATTTATAGTTTATCAAATTTAGTAAATCCAATGGGTTTAAACTGTCAATGTCATTGGTTATACGTCAAATGTTCAAATGTTAACCCGGCAAAAAAAACTACTGTAACCACACTCTAACAAGCAAAAACTAGAAAAACACAAAGTATTTGCGTATTTAAAGTCAGCCTCGAATTTATTTCAATATTTCCATAGGCAGTCTTGGTTTTCACAGGTTTTGCCATAAATCGATTTGCTATATCTCAAATATGACTAATATTTTTATGGAAATTGTGATTGAATTTTGAAAATACAATGTCATAATACATTTCTACTTAAAATATTGCTATAAGTAGATATCAGGGACCAACTAAAACGATATATTGTGGATGTCCATAATACTGAGATTTAACGATATTTATATTTTCTGATATTTAACGACATTAATTGATAAAATATTTTTTTAATATCTTTTATTTTCGGAAGTTAAAGTAATTGCTAAAACCTACCGTTAGGTAAGGGTCTTAACTTGTACAACGTCTTTTTTGAAAATTTTTTCGTTTTAAAGTTACCGTTTTTTGGTAATAGCAAAACATTTAGAGAATACATACAACTTAAATTCCGGAATACCTCAACAATTTGACTTCCTCATGAAAATGGTTTGCCTATATCGTTTTAAACTAGACCTTCTTTTCAATTCCACTCGTTAAAAGCAATACGAAGAATGCTTTTGGAACTTTTTAGACCAACATCTTAGGAAATATCAAGTTCCGTACATAATAACTTATTTATTTTTGAATATGGTTTCTAGTTCTGTCTTTTATCATTATGTTAGTAATGTTTTTATATTATTCATATATAAAAACATTAAACATTTTTAAAACACACAAAGATTTGGTGTTTTTCTTTCGCATTTTTTTTTTTTTTTTTTGACATACATGAACGGCTTAGCCTTAAAACAATTATCCTGTTTACTTTGAAGTTTAACGAATCCATCTCTGCATGCACCTCCACCAGACTTCACAAAACGCATTTACTCACACATATAAACACACACAAATTATCCACAATGAAGGTGTTTAAAAAAAACGAATTCAGAACCATATACCCAAACTCCTAACATTTCTTCTAAACAAATTGGCAATAAATGGGAGCAGCAATAAAACCCCCAAAACAAACTGTGATTTAATGACATAAACAAAAGCAAGAGAAAAAAAACTAATATTTCCACAATTTGGTTTTGCTGTTGTTGGAGAAATTTTGGTGTTAACTGCAACACGAACCTGAAACGATACTCACCATTTAAATCCTTTGTTAGCTGAGAACGTGTCGACATGTTGGAGCCGTTTCTTTGCAAAATTTTCTTTTCAAAAGGGGAAAGTAGTTGACTGCTGCTGGCTGGCTGGTGATGCTTTCTGCCGCTCTTAGCCAAATATAATAATGATGTTGACTCTAATAATAATGATGATGATGTTGTTGCTGCTGCTGCTCCTCTTCGTAATAATGACGTTCGTTTATTTATTTGTTTTTAGTTTTGCACTTGAATTGTTTTGTTTTAGTTTAATGTCGTTGTTTTGTAGTTATTTGTCGCTGTTTGAGCTATATCTTCATCTTCGTTGTTGTTGCTTTTGTGCACAATTATCCACAAAGTTCATTTGAACACAATTATGAAGTTTAGTTGGGCGTGTGTGTATGTTGAGATGTTTCTTTTCTTCTCCTCCTTTTCTTCTTCTTCTATCTTAATTTCTTAAGGTTACAAAACAGGATTTTGTGATTTTTCTTTTGGCCTCTAAAGATGAATCAATGGCTCTGCTCTGCTGGCTGTTTGGTTGGATAGGTTAGCCGGTTTTTTCTTTTTTCATTTGTGGTTACCAACAACACAGTGACCGACACAGGATTTTGGGCTCCACTTAGGTTGTATATTACCAACCACAACAACAACAACTACAAACCCAACCAACAAAAATCCACAATATCGTTTTCCAATTGCAACAGCCGCCGCCCCGAGCTGCAGCAAACAAATAAAGATATCTCTTTTTCTCTTACTTATTTTGTATTTGCGTTTAAAACATTTTGATTTCACTTCGATATTCCATTTTATGCCATTTTGACGTGCACAAGTTTAAAAAAATACAATTAAATTTTGTATACTTGATTTTTGCAACTTCACTAATTGACCATTTTCTTCTTCTGCTTTGCAGCAGGCTTTTTGTGTTTCAGTAAAAAAATACTTCTCCGCCAAGTAATTTTCCCCCGCAATTCCTATTCCACCCTCTCGCACAACAAACAGCACGCACTTTTCTCTCGTTCGCACACAATACAAATACACCACTAAACACCAATCGCCGGAGAGTTAAGAATATATGAAAAAACAAGGGGGAAAAAGTAAATAACACAATGAGATTTTCTCCACACTTGAATTAATATGATTTTCCATATTCCATTGAATATAATTATATTTCAATTTAAAGCCACAACAAAAAACACAATTTTAATTTGAGCCAACTTCAATTAACTATGTTTTCTTTCATAAACTTGGATTTTTGGCAGCAAAAATAATTTGCACTTCCCCACCAGCACTGAAAACTTCAATCAATGCAAATTTCAACTCTCTAACTCTCCCACTCTTCTCTTTCACAACATAAACAACAAATTCCGACTACGCGAGAACAAGCACTCTCTACGATGGCTGCTGAACGACTGTTACATTTTTCCTAGGGATACGTAAGTCGACTTTCGATTAATCGATTGCTGGTGTTACACATACACACAGTCGCTCAAAATTGACAGTTTTATATGATAATCGATTGTTTGTATGGGTGTGTATACGATACGATAAGAGCCAATTATTTGTAGAAAATATTTCTGATAAACCAAAATCCAATAAATGAGAGTATATTCGCAATGTTTTATTTTTCAGAAACTGCAAGACTCTACAAGTTTCGCATTTTTTCCGATATCATAAATGAAGAATTGGTTATGGGAGTAATGCCATGTTTACGTTAGAACTTTTTGTAGGGTTAAGGTGGGATCACATGATTGTCGCAATGCGCCAATTTAAACCAATTTTTATTGTCCAAAGTTTTACTACAATAAATAAATTGTCACAATCAAATTCTCTGCGGTCACATGATTGTCCAACTTTTCATAAATTTGATTGCCGCATATTGTCTCAAAACCATCAAGTGACAATTATTGTCCAACTTCAGTCACACGATTGTTCTATTACACGGCAAATATCAGAAGCAGCTGCTATGTGTCAAAGTTTGTTTATTAAAAATGTTAAAGCATTTAAAAATTTGTTTTATTAAGATGTGTTCTTTAAAAAAAAAAGAAAATTGCAGCAGCTATAATTATGGTGTGTGCATTTGACGATGAGAAAAATGAAAGGAAAGAAAAGAAAAAAAAAGTAAATAGAAGTACGTGGGTCAGAGAGTGGCTCACAAAAAGAAGCACTGATGGTGCATATGACAAAACATTAATGGAATTCCGGGAAATCGAAAACCAAAAGTTTTTGTTTAAAAATTTTATCCGGATGGATGACGAAACGTTTATCGAATTGTTGCAACTAGTGTCACCATATATTAAAAAACAAGACACAAACATGCGAAAGGCTATTCCCGAACAAATACGCTTAGCTGTGACACTTCGATTTCTTGCATCTGGTGACAGTTATAAAAGTCTTTCGGTCTTCTTCCGTGTTGCCCCAAATACCATATCACTTTTCGTACCAATTGTTTGTGATGCTATTTATAAAGCGTTAAAAGGTGCATACATAAAGGTATGAAAAATCTAAATACACACATATTTATGCTTTTTAATTGACTTATTATTTCTTTTGATATGTATGTAGATACCATCCACGCAGGAAGAATGGAATGTCGTTGCTTTCAAATTTAACAAACTATGGAACTTCCCGAACTGCATAGGGGCGGTTGACGGCAAACATGTGCAAATTATAGCACCACCTAATTCAGGAAGCACCTTCTATAACTATAAAGGTACACATAGTATAGTGCTAATGGCAGTTGTTGATGCCGAATACAACTTTTTATACGTTGATGTTGGCTGTAATGGTCGTGTGTCGGATGGTGGAGTCTTTGGAGACTGTACTTTTCAACGTGCTTTAAACAATAATGAGCTAAATTTGCCACTTCCAAAACCATTGCCAGGTCGTCAAGCAAATGTTCCATTTGTTTTGGTTGCGGATGATGCTTTCCGCATGCAGAAACATTTGCTGAAGCCATATCCTGGTAAAAGTTTATCTGCAGGGCAGAGAATATTTAACTACAGGCTATCGAGAGCACGACGTGTTGTAGAAAATGCATTTGGCATAATGGTCAAGCGATTTCAAATTTTTTCACGCCCTTCCAAGCTTAATGCAGAGAAAACAACCTCTACAACTCTAGCTTGCTGTGCATTACACAATTTTTTGTTAAAAAAAAATTTAAATTATACAACGTCGTTGCTTGTTGATCGCTACGATGAGGACGGTGCTTTAATTCCTGGTACATGGCGAAATGACTTCCCACTAGATGCTGTGAGTGGAACAGAAAATGTTCCAAGTTCTTATATAACAAGTGAAGCAAAGGCTGTTCGGGATGAAATGGAAAAGTATTTCATGTCTCCTATTGGAGAATTGAGCTGGCAATATAAAAATATATAAATAATTTTATATATCAAATAAAATTTAAACTTTAATTTTAAATCAGAAAATTTACTATAGTTTTATTTAATTCATTTTTAGTATCTAAAAAAATACGGACTAGGAAGGTACTTCAATATTGCAAACAAAATAACAAAACAAAAACTTACATATACATACTATAAAAATTCAATTTAAAAAATGAAATATAACGCAAAAAATTTATCAAGGCTTAATTATCTTCTTCAGCTTCCAAAGCTGCATCCATTACGACTTTGACAAGCTGGAAATGCAGTTTGTTCGCAGCCTTCTTGTTTTTCTTGGCAATTTCTCGCATTTGTGATGCCAAATACATCCCAATCGCGTGCCAATTATCTTCCTCCGCATCTAAACACTTAACTGCACGCTGCAAAATGTCACTTTTGTCTACCTTTACAATCTCAGCAGCGGCATGTTGTGAAGTACTTCCAGAGTCATCCAAATCTAATGTTGACACTGTACTTGACATTTTTGACACAGAGTGGTCGTTGTAAAATTGCATTGCAGACCAATGCGGCCAATGTGGTATGGTATTTTCGGCTCCCTGACCAGATTTTGATTTTAGTTTTTTTTTTACATTTTGAAAGGCCGTTTTAATGTTGCACCATTTGGCCTTGCAGTCTTCCACCGTGTGCCCTGTACACATTTTTTCAATTTCCCGCCATGCCTGCTCCCGTTTATTCCTATCTTTGTACTCGGTGGATGAATACTGCCAAACACATGGATGCTGTTCCACAGCTTGTATCAGCTCCTGTATTGCAGTGTAGGTCCAGGAACAAATTACACTTGGTTTTTTTCTTTTTTTCGGCACAGGTGTTTCTGGTTGCTGATCGGGGGAAAAGAACTCAAGCTCAGCTGAATTTTCGTATACAATGCAATCACCGAATTCCATATTAAAGCTGCAAATACATAATATGAACATAATTATAGCAAATACAACAATTTAAATTAACTTTACTTTACTTACGACAAAGAAATGTTGACGGTACAAACACAAGAAAAAATATTATTTAAAAAAAATCAGGTTATTGACGCGTATTGTCTTCTTTGATTGACGCACTAGAAAACAATAAATATTGACGCATTTTTCAAATTTAAATTTGCGCAAGGTTGTCTATTAACAGTTCACACGATTGTCGTACCAGAGTTGTATTTGATTGCCGCAAATCAACACAATTTATTTTTGATTGTCGCATTGGACAATAAATTGTGCAATCACACGACAATATGACAATTTAAATCCAAATCCAGTGGGTTAACCCTCATATATATAAACGTACTTTAAAAATGTTTACATTCTTGCAGATCTGGAACAGAGCAATTACTAAGTTATAAAAAGTTTAAAATTTCTTACTGAAAAAAATATTTATCATAACAATTTTTCGTATTATCAAACAGACAGATGAATTTTCTGTATAATTCATTTTGGATATCAAATGTCCAGTCAGTTCAGGCGATTAGCTGGAAAACATCAATTTAGACTTTTGGAAAACAGTAAAAAACTAACTCTAATGAGCGCGACAGCGAAAATAACAGGTTCTTCCCTAGCACAAAATGGTTAACTTTTTTATTTGTGTATTGTTTGTATTAACCCATGGCAAAATTAAGAAGGTAAAGTCATTTCAAATAAGCATTCCCATCTCTGCATTTTCTGTAACTTACCTTGTTAAATTTCAATGCAAAGAAAATAGGTTCCCATCTCCGATTTGTGTGTATACAATGGATTTGTAAACATACATTTTGACAATGAGATGTAGTCAATAATTTTGAAAAAAGTTGTAATCATATGATTGCATTACTTTACCTTCTTAATTCTACAATGAAATTATCATGACACAATTATATAAGGTAGTCCCATGCTCCGTGGGCTCCCTGGCAATAATACATTATATTTTATTTGTTTGAAATCCCGGATTTTATATACCATAAAAATAAAAGAAGAATTGTTTCGACCAATCTGCCAAAAATATATGAATAATTTTTTGACTTAATTCGAAACGTAAAATTTTAGAATTTCAAAATCCGAATATTTCCATTTGAATTTCAATATATTTCAATTGTTATTCGAGAATTCCATTTGAAATTAAAATTATTCAATTTAATTTGAGTTTTTCCATTTGTAATTATAATTATTTTTTCGTTTGAATACAAAACCGAAAATACAAAAAGTGTTTGACATTGGCTTTGTATTTGTTTGTTTGAAAGGTAAATAATATAATTCGAATTACAAATAGAATAGTTCGAATTTTAAACGGAACTATCGAATAACAATTGAAATGTTACGAATTACAAACTGGAGCATAGAATTATACAGGGTGAGATGAAAAAAACTGTAATCAACTTCAGACTGCTTCTAAGCAGCTGTTAAAATTATTCCAGTGACAGCTCATTATACTGTTTACAAGCATACAAAAGAATTTTGGTGAGAATTTTCCACAAAAAAGTTTTGTGATGGAATTCAAGCGTGATAGTGTGATTTCTTTATATTTGGCTGGAAAACCACAAGTGGCTATCGTTAGACATCTCCAGCATTTAAGTCACGCTCGTTACCGTGATACTGGTAGCGTAGCCCGAAGTCAAGAAGGTGGACGGAAGAAAACAGCAACATCAGCAGAAATAGTTCGCAGTAGCCGAAAAATGGCTCGTGAGCTGAAAATATCGCGATGTTCCATTCGGCAAATATTGAAAGATGAGCCCGGTGTAAAGCCATTGAAATTCCAAAAAGTACAAGAATTTACACCGTAACAGAAAGAAAATAGACTCATTACGTCTGGAGTATTTTGGGAAGCAATCACAAGCGATAACCTCAATCAAGCGCTTCGTCGGGAATGGGTCAAAATACCGCAGAGCAACATTCGGGCAGCGTGTGACGGTTTCATTTACCTTTGAAGGCCATACTTCGTGCCAAAGGTGACCAATTCGAACAAATCTGAACTTATTCAAAAATTTGATGGTATTTCCGACATTTTTTGCTTTCATTCAATTAAATTTAAAAAAATGTAAA